GTGGGGAAGGGAAATATTGATTGAACTCAAAGTTGTTGGTTTTGCTTTTAACACAAACTGGTTATTTTAAATTAAAATAAATAAAAGTGAGCTCACCACATTGATTAGTTTATAGAAATTTCTTTTGTTTTTACTAACATCCTATTTTTAGCTAAAGGCAAGATGAAACGTCACATATGCAATATGCACATGGCAAAATCTAGTTTACAATACTTTTTAATTATAATCAGCAGCAGTACATGGCCTGCTGATGAGTAACACACCACAAGTAACATAGGAGACCAATTAAAAGATTAGTTACCTATCTTAAAAATGAACATGCAATAATCGGAACAAAAAACTTTAAAAATTAGGCACTGTCAAGTTAAGAGTCTGTAAAAATACATGTCCTTGTTGTTACTAATATTTAAACAAGGGTTTCAAAGTCAAATCTACTTTTCTTTAGTCATCCTTATTTATTTCGTCTGAATCAGGAGATGCAAAAATGTAGACTAACTGGTTGTATATCTAGATCCTCATCTACTCTAAAGGAATAATCATGCTTAAATGTGGGTGTGAAGCATAGCTGTGGGAAATTCATATTTTAATTATATACTAAAATATATAACTTGACTGCGTACATCTCCCCCCCGTTAACAGCACATGTAAAAGCAATGTTAGAGAACTACAATTTGGTTTAGGGATCTACCAGTCATCACCTACACTTGCCTTGTTTCCTCAGATTCCACAGTGGTGCACCAGTGGCAACAACAATGGAAGCATTAATGTAAAAAAGTCAATTGGCAGCTAGTCAATACTCACATAACTTCTTTCAGTCTCTACCCCTTAATTCATCAGCAGGGATTAAAACCAGGACTTCCAGCACTGCAGCATAGACCTCTACTCAACTAGGCAAAAAGAGTAACCCCTTGAGTTGGCAGAACCAGCAGGCTATCATCCTCCAATTAAACAGAGATGTGACCCTTTCTTTGCCAGTGTTTCACACTGACATCAAAAAATAATTTATTTTGTTTGAGAGAGAGAGAGAAAGGCTAGCTTTGGCATAGACTCTGAGTTAAAAGAGCATTCTCTAACATTGTTATAACTTGTTATTTGCTACCCACACAAGCAAGAAAAAAGTGGTAACATTACTCACAAACATGATATACAGCCATATGTGATGGGATGTCTACCCCACACAAGGCAGAGCAGGTTGAGTGAGGTCAATTAACCTAATAAGCTGTACCTGGGAGAATGCCAGGGATTGAAACACTGACTGATGATGGAATTCAGCTAAGAAGAAACAGGCAGGGCTCATATAAAGCCAGGAAGCTGGCAGCAGAAAGGGCCTACAGGGCTATCAGGCTGAAGTCACTCGTGGCAGAAGTGAGATGTGTTTAAGGTTACAGAGTTAAGTCTTCTGCAGTTGCTTCCTGGGAGGGGAAAGTTTGAGCTGGTAAACCCAGAGATGGGGTAGCCAGAAGATAGAATAGAGACGTAGGAAGGAGTCCAAGTAATAGAGACTGAGAGCAAGGAGACCCTGGTTGATGAACACAAGCTCCAAGGACAGGAACCTGTAATGGGTGGTTCTGGATGCCCCTATCAGCCACTGAGAAAATGGCATACAACCTACACTGAACTGGAAGACCATCTGGAGCATAAAAGGACAGCAGATCCAGTGGACTCTAATACCCAAGGAGGAAATAACCACAGTGACCCAGCTGGAGGGCAAAGCAACAAAGAGGGAGCCCCCTAAGTGACAAAAAGGGAATAATCTGATACCAGAGAAAGACTGACCATTGGGTAAGAAACAGGAGAGGCAGCTGACTGGTTCCCACAAGGAGGTGCCACAATGGTGTCTAGCAAGCCCCATTCCAGAATGTTAAATGTCTGGGGTTTTATCGTTTTCCTTTTTAACAGCACCCCTCACTATTCATGCACTAACACAGTACTGTAATCTTTACACCAGACTAGAATTTTTTTTAAATAAATCTTTCTAATGCACATCATAATTCATGGAAACTATTTCAAAATGATGTTTGTGCCTTTTTAAACAAAAACTCTTCAAAGATGGAGGATTCAGAAAATAGTTGTACAAATGTGACACTAGTGTTTCCCAAGCTGTGGTCCATGAACCACCAATGGCAAACAAATGTTCTGAAAAAGCAGCAGTGAACAATAAGAAAGAAGGTAAGACCACAATCGAATCTCACTCTTAGAAAATACTTAGCCAAATGACAGAATTAAAGATCCTCTGAACACTCGCTAGAAGACACAAGGCAGAACAATAATTGACCGTTTCAGAAGACAACAATCCTTGCCTCCCCTCCATTCCTTCCAATGCCAAGCCTAGATTATGATCTGCAAAAGCATCATATTAGGTGTCTGAATCAGCAGAAAGGCTTCCTCTATGACAGAAGTATGTACCCTGTGTGTTGGCTAAGTCTTGCATTTTTAAGAAGTTAACTATTAGCTGTTATCTATTTTCAAAAGATTCAATTTTTCTGCTACAACATCTCTAAACGGTATAATTTATTTTGAATTATGTTTAATTTTTACCACGATTTTTCTGCTCATCTGCCAGGCTAATAAGAGTTTTACCTGTACCTGAGTTAATTAGTTTGTTGTCCTGCTGCTATCATCAAGGTAGTGCTCAGAACCTCTAAACTTTTTAAGTCGTGCATAAAATGAACAGGAATCTTTAGCCATGCACAGTCTTCAGAAAAATCAGAGTATCACTTCCTGCAGTCTAATCGAGGTGTTACTTTTCTAACTGGACAACTATGGTTTTGTAAACTGGCTATGGCTTGGATGTTTACAACCAAATTTTAAAAATCACTCTAACTTCCCTTTTTAGGTGTCTAAATAAATATCTGTATGTTGCAAACAAACAAAAAAACAGATAAATAATAGATACACTTTAGTTAGAAACAAAACTTCAATACCTTCATGTACTTTCAGAAAATAACAACCTAGGTTGCTACCCAGTGAGAGCAAGCAAAAGATGATATACTTGCTAACTGCCCCTAGTAAAAATTAGATGGAGAATAAACAGGGTCAGATCTACAAATTGGTCCAATTACAGAAACAAACATGAATCCATTTGAGCTTTGCAACCACCAATTTCAGTAACCTGTGAGCTTGAGCATTATGTTAATTGTCCACAAAAATGTCAGTTCACACACTGAAGGAAAGAACATTGAGAAAGTTTCATGCAATTTCGTTTTATCAAGCTTCATGCTTTGTAAGACTATACGTCCATATTCATCCTGAGTGCGTTTTAAATTCAGTCTGAATCAGGACATGAGTGATAAGCCCAAATCACATGACCAAGGAGAAAATAATAAAAAGCTATTGTTTGTGTTAAACTTGTAATAACTTTAGAAATACCTGTGTTACCTTATTTAAAGGCTTAGGCTAAGAAATAGAAATAAATAAGTAGTGTTATTTGTGTATCAGGTTAAATAATTCCCAGTAGCTAGGGAAAAACAAAGTGAAGACAGACAAGAAGAACAAACCTTCAAGAAAGAGTACAACTTTGAACCATTTCAGTTAATATTAGCTAAGGTCCAATAAACAGCACTGACATCTCATTTGTTACAGTGCATAAAAAAAAAAGTTTTCTGGGGTTCCTTCATTAGAGCTCCTCTTTACCCCACTGGAGTTATGCCATAATAAGATGGTAAATCTGAACTAACTGCAAGTAATTGGTAAATGCTTATAACTAAGGCAATGATTTAGTTACAGATATTTTTAGTAAAAGTCATGGATGGGTCAAAGTGAATACACAAAAATTCACTCCTGTTCATCTACTATACATTTGAGTTTGTGTGTCTGTCTGTCCATGAGTCTATTTGTTCAAGAATTCCTCCTAAACAGTAAGACCTAGGACCACCACATTTGGGTATGCAGCTTCCTCTTCTTATAACTTAAAGCAAAATCAGGGTTTGGTTGTGCCAGGACAATGGAATGTGATTGTTTCTCATTAAATGGAAAGGGAAAGGTCTGCTAACAGGGACAGTTACACTGTATAATGATCACAGGGAGGCAGCAAGGGGCCAGAGGTGGGGGACCAGGACAGCTATAACTCCATTGGAGCAGCAGGAGTAGAGAAAGAGACAGCTATCTACTACGTGGGGGACCAGGACAGCTATAACTCCATTGGAGCAGCAGGAGTAGAGAAAGAGACAGCTATCTACTACACATTTAAGAGAGTTTGTGTGTGTCTGTCCCCCAACTGGGGAACATGTACCCCTCCCCCAGCTGAGCCTGCTGTAGCAGCCAGGGAGAGGTGCTTCTCACTTGATCCCAAGCTGCTGCAATGAGAGAGGGATAGGGTTGTACTCTCTCCGAGGCAGCCTGAATACTGAACCCCTCCCCTCATGCCCAACCCAGAGCAATGATTTTAATGAAGAAGAAAAAAACCAACACACACGCACACAAATTATTTCAGTTAAGGGCCTAAGCAACACTGGGTAAATCCTCTAGTGACTTAAACTAAAAATATCTGTGATTAAATCTTTGGGGAAGAAAGGAAAGGGGAGAGTGCGGGGGGGAGAAGAGGACTGTGGCTGCTCTGGCCACCCAGGGACTGCTGCCAGGTGTCACCAGAGCAGCAGCTGGTGTGGCTGTCCCATGGGCCAGCTGCTTGGGCCTTACAGATGTCACAGAGGTTTAGGAAAGTCAAAGAGTCCATGACTTCCACCACCCCCTGACAGACACGGAGCCTGACATATTCACTATATTATTGTTTGGGTGTTGACTGTTTGGGGGTTGCTTATTTTTAATGCAACCAACACAAAGTGGCCTTTGGACTAATAAAGAAACTCTTGTGTGGAAACTGAGTCATGGTAAACCTTAATAAACTTACTAGGAAAATTCCTTCTATGTTGTTGGAAATAAAACAGCATCAAAGTAGAAGACTAATACAAAATAAAAGCCTGGTGCATCTGTCATGAGGTTCCTAAATATATATACGGTGAAAACATCATGCACACAGAGTACTGTTTGCAGCTACCTACCTACATGAAAAACACCATTCACAACACAAACTGCAAAGTGATATGCAAGACTCCACTCTGTGTTTCCAAAGGATTAATACTTTGTCTCCCAATGTTGAAAGCTGGTCTTGAGTCTGCTGAAGCCTGAGCACTCCAGTCCCCCTGCTGGGAAACAAACAAATGAAGCTGGTTTTAAGTGTCTTCTATTAATATACTGAAACAATTCTCACAACCCTAGAGGCAGAAACGATAAATGGGATGCTGAGCTTGCACTAAATCATGTCAATGTTACCAATGTAAGAAGCTACATGAAGATTTACTAAATACACTAAATTTCATGGTAAAAAAAATAAAAATATAAATAAATAAATAAATAGAGATATATCTCCTGCAGGAAGAGACTCCTCCTTGCCACCATTCACTAAGTCAAGCCAATCTGTAAGATGTTTTACACAATGGGAAACACTGTATTAGCTAAGAGGTTTAAAACTTTCTTATTAAGTTTCCAGAAATAGCAGATGTAAAGATTCATAATATAAACAAACCAAAACCATGAAAAGAAACTATTTCGGATTTAAGCTCTGGTTCACAGTACAGCAGATCTAATTATGTACCAGCTACTGTACTCCAACTTACCCAGAATATGAAGGATTTACATTTTAATACCAAAGGGAAGAAATATTAATGTTGAAAATACAGGCAATGTTGAAAGAGTTTTTCAAATGGCATTGCCATATACTGGTCAGCATGATGGGGACATTTCCATTCAACAGTATTTAAATCTGAAGTAACTGAATTATCATTTCTGTTCTAATAAAACATTAGTATGAGTGAAACATATGGTATTGGTGTTTCAATATTGCCAGAAAATACCATCTTAATTCTTCACTTTCCTGTGACAGAAACAGCAAACAAAAGAGCCATGAATCCCCACAGATAGTTGGTAAGAAATTGAATGGGGTATTTCTTTTCTTCAGCAAAAAACAAATATTTATATTAAAAAAATAGAAAAAACAGTTCAAACTAAATAAAACAAAATTATAGAATCAGTCCTCATTTCTTTTAAAGAGTTGACTAATCACCCTGGGATTACAGTTAGAAGTAGACACCTTAAAAAAAATAAAACCTAATGGAAGAAATGTTCATATTTCACTGCTCACATGTAATCACATTTTATGAGAATCCTGCCCAGGTAAAAAGGTGTCTCATGTCACCTTCTTCTGCTACACATATGGGGGATTTTGGAATATTGATGGATAATGATTCCTCTAAAACAAATATTTATTTTTACTGTGCACTAAAGCTCATTTGGATGAAGTTTAAAAAAAAAAACCCAGCAGCTCTTATAAAGCTAGGAAATGAGGGAACAGAGAACCTTAAATCAAACCAGCTTTAAAATTAAACCTAAAGAAATTTGAGTCAGGTCAAGTTTCACTATGAAACTACACTCTATTATGTATAGTGTCAAAAGAACATAGCAAACATTATTTTAATACTAAAGAATGAAATACAATCCTTCCACTATTTTAGTTCTATTTGAGATTCCTAGCAAATCCTAAAACTTTAACATACACTTATATAGAAGGTACCACTCACAATTTCAAGAAAGGAGAGTTAAACCTATCCTGTCAGACTACCCTCGCTCTATTTCAGTGGTGGCAAAGATGTGACCCATCAGTTTCAACGTGTGTACCAGGAGACATTTTGGTTACTGTTATCCACACACAAGGTTGCCAGATCTCACTGGTTTCCATCCATGTAGGTTTTTATCCCCTCGCAGCATTACTAAAGTGACATGCACCTATAATAAGGACACAAAGTGAGGACGTGCTGATTGAACACAACATTGACTGAGAGCCATGTGCTCCCTTTTGGGCAATGGAGCTAGAGTTGTACTTGCAGCCTTTGGGGCTAAAATAAACACCAGAATGTGTTTTATTTGCATGAATAATTCTTCTTCGTGGCAGAGGATTGCCAGACTTCAATGTGCATATCTGAGGCCAGAGTGTGGTACAATTTCTGACAGGTAGGTACATAGATACACACAAAATGCAGTGATAAAAACAACATTACAGGACATTTTGGACAAAAACCAATAAAAAAGTCTCTAGTCACTTGAAAAATTCATGGCCACTCCATAAATCTTCAGATAACTTGACAAGGAACAAACATCAAATTTAAAAAAAAAAAACCTTTAAAAATACAGTAATATTCACGCACACACACAAAAGGCATTCCCACCATGTATTTTAAATGTAACACTACTTCCTATTATGCCCATGAAAGCTCACGATACCATCTGCATGTTTTGTTAGTCTATGAAGTGCTACCAGACTATTCGTTGTTTTTAAGTTTATCCTATACAGACTAACTCAGCTATCTCCCCTGATGCTATTATATCCTGTGAGTTTTTTAAAATTAAACTGAAGTGAGAAGTAAATGAGCACAATTTGAAGTGCCTGTTTCACTCCAGATTGTTGATCTCTGGTACTACTCACAATTTACTTTACTTTTTTTTTTTTTTAAACTTATGAAGATTATGGCTTTTTTATAGTTGTAAAAATTTAGATTGGTCCCAGATTGCAAATATGAGAGGCTCAAAAATAGTAAGGGAGAGATTCATATCTCAGAATAATTGCTTCAGCCTGGCAAACAATGGGCTTTGAATTTTCTTTAAAGAAACACAGTGTAAACGAGGTACATGCCGATTCTTTTTTTGCCCTGGATTTTAATATGACATCTGTGTTGGCTGCCTTATTCTGGATCCATGAAGACTTTGAGTTTAAGGTGCTTCAGACCCCTCCCCCCCATCCAAATCCAATGCCCCATCCCTCCCCCAGCACCAGGGATTCCCACCCCCAGCCTCCCGCCCCCTCCCCTCCGCTCTAACCCCAGAGCCAGGTATTCCCAGCCCCTTTGATCTAACCCAATGCTCTCCCCATCTCCCAGAGCCAAGCACCCCAGCTCCCTACTCTAACCTTCCGAGGTCTCTTCCAGCTCTATGGTTCTATGATTCTATCCACCCAATCCCTCTCCTCTCCCCCAGCACCAGGT